TTTTTAGGAGAAGAAAACAGATTTTTTCCTGTTTTCTTCTCCTAAAAATTTGGTGCGTCTTATGGAGAGGTGTGTCTTATGGAGCGAAAAATATGGTACTTTGCAATTTTGACTAGATTTTGCTTTACTCCAAAGAGGTATCCTGAAGCTCTAGCAGATGAAGTATGTCTTTCGTCCCCACTTTGCCCAGATGTCTTTTGACAATAGATTACATCAGGTCTTTGAAATTTAGTTTTGTTTGGAATTGGACACCAGTATTCTAGTTGTGTTTCTCTTTAGTTCCAGCGTATTTCCGGTGAAATGATCACCTCAACAAATCCTTCCTTTAAGGGAATATTGAAATCAAACAGACACATATGTAATTTATTTACTTTATACAAACTATTACTGGAGAAACTGGAAATTGGATTTAGATCTTAAACCATGTTCTTTACATTAGTGTTTCTGGAACCACAGTGAATCTGTAGGGGAGCGTGTGCGCGCCGGAGGCATGGCAAAAACTTTGCAGATGGGGTATGGTTCCCAACCTGAATCTGAGAATACCCCAAGCCAGCATACACATTCTTTCTGCCTCCTTACCGGCGGAAGTCCTACCTCTGTTCCCTTCCTGCTGTAGACATAAATGCTTGCTTGCCCCCCCTCTCCTCTCTGGCTCTGCACCACCCCCATCGCCGCCGGGCCATGAAGAGAGACTTTCCCCCCTCCCCCCTGCACTCACTCCGCTTCCCACAGCTGCGTTGCGCATGCGGGCGCATGCGTGAAGGGGTGAGGGAGCGCTCACGCTGGCACTGGCATGTGCGGGTGCGCACAAAGGAGCTGTGGGGAGGGGAGTGCGTTGGGGGGAAGAGGGAAATCTGTTTTCGTGACCTGGTCTGGCTCATGCCAGGGACTGGCACGAAGTCATGGACCAGGGGTTGATGACCTCTGGTTTACATCATTCGAAGACAGTAGAAAGATAGGATAGAAAGATAATAATTTAATAAATACTAAAAAAGATTTTTAATAAACTTCTGTAAAAAATGATGAACAGAAGCAACATCAAAACACATTAAAAGTTGTAAGGCACATGAATCCATTTAAGAACCCCACTTAGGTGGCCAGTAATTAAAAGAAAGCTTGCTTAAAGTGTAAGGCCTTCACCTGCTTATGAAAGGACAGCAAAAGATGGGGCCAACCTGGCATCCTGTGGAAGGGTGATCAAAAATCTGGGGCTGCAACAGAGAAGGCCCTCTCCTGTGTCCCCACCAAAAGCACCTGTGAAGATGGTGGAACCTTAACATTTGAGAAAAATGTGGCTGTTCATATCCGAGTTAGGAAGGAACGGAACATTTTACATTTTCTTATGCTAAGCAATAGAATTTCAGCCACTGTAACAATTTTAAATAAGGAAGTCCTAACAGTGAAATCCTGTCCTTAACTTCTTAGTGGTAAGTGTGTCTGAAGTCAGCAAGACTTGTCTTCTAGATAAGTGAATAAGGCATTATGTTTGAACATCCTTCCCATGATTTAAACATATTAAATATTTCAGTATAGTGGAAGCTGCCTTTATAAATAATATGTCAGATCAAAGGGATAGCTGTGTTAGTCAGCATCAGCAGAACCAAAAACTAAATGAGAGAAAAAATTGTGGCTCCTGTTGGACTAACAGGTTTATTTCAGTATGAGTTTTAATGGATTGTAGATTGTAATTCATAATAATTCTCATAGAAATAAATCTTTTAGTTTCATAGGTGGCCAAGCAGTTTTTAAAAATTTTTATTTTGCGTGTGTCTTGTTTTTGTTCTTGCTTGTTAGCTCAAATAGTTTTATGATTCTGTAGCATTTGAAATAATAGTTGCAACAGAAACCAGCTCAAGCTCTGTTCAGGTTCTATGCCTGGGAGTATGCAGAGGACTTAATGGGTTATGGAGACAGAGATGCAGCCATAAGCCTTTCCTCCCACATTGCCCTTCAAGAAATTCATCAGACTCCTCTGAAGAAGAGCTTGTTAAGTGTATTTTGTAAACAAAACCAGATGAACCTGTTCTTCAAACATTCATAACAAAAATCTCACTGACTTGCAGAAAGGATGGGGTATGACAAGGGGGTTAAACTTCCATGTTTCTTCATATTCTCACTGCCTGCAAACTTTTAGCCCTCCACTTAATTTCCCCTGTAATGTCTAAATAGGGCTTGATAGCAACATGGAAGAAATAAGTAAAAAGTATTGATTCATCTAGGACACTACATCATTATTACTCTTACATTGTTTCTCAGGTAAGGAAGCCTGAAAAAGAAAAGACCTGTAGTTTTCAGATAGTCTGTTTTGTGAAAACTTGACTCTGGTCTGATAGTTTTGACGAACAAAGAAGATTCAGATTCTCACATTGGAGTGCTGCATCTGTAGTGTTAGCTGACAACTGAAATAGTAATCTGTGCTTTAAAAATGATTTTTTTTTTTTGTAATCACTGTTTAGTGCTACACCCTATGATAGGTTTTTTGTAACACATGTATCTTTATGCATTTTCAGGTGAGTTGTGTAACCTCATAACGCTTGATGTAGCACACAATCAGCTTGAACATCTTCCAAAGGAGATTGGAAATTGCATGCAGATCACCAAACTTGACCTACAGCACAATGAACTTTTGGACCTTCCAGACACTCTAGGTGCGTACAATCTTTTCATTTCCTGAATTTAAGCAAACAAAATGATTTGTTTGTGGACCATAACTATATAAAGAAGTGACTGTATGTTGCTATGCTGTTAACAAAAAACAAAATACAGAATCCAAGGGCAGACAATACTTTTCTTTCTCCACCTTGTGTCTCTGGTACTAGCAGATGGATATCAGCATGACTGTCCTGCTTTTGGATATGGAAGACCTGAACAGTTATGATGTGGTGCATACATATCAGATCTTTAATAAATTCTCCTTGCACTTTGTGATTGAAATATTTCAGCTTTCTGTAGTTTATGCATTTAATGAGGTTTTTAAAATCTTCATTCATTTGTTTCAGTACTTGGTCATTTGTCACCCCATGGATACAGGGAATTCTATGCATCGTGCAGAAATTCCACATGTCAGATGCTTTTAACTTTTAAAATAATTGTTTGTGTTAAAACTCAGCTATTCCATGCTGTATAGTAGAACCAAGAATATACAGTGCAGCATAGTGCACGATCTGTAGTATGTTTGTAAAAATCTATGTTATATTCTTCCATCTTAAGGAAATTGTTCCAAGTTATTAGGATCAACTATAAATACACCAAAGTATTCAAGTATCCTTTTCATCAGATTTTACCTTTGATGTTTAAAAAATGGAGAAAAAAATAAGGGTAGATATTTTAAGTCATTGGCCAAAATCTTGTTACCCTGAAAAGACAGGATATAATGATGTTTTCTTTGAGGGGCATGTTAGTCATGTTCTCAATGGGAGGGACCGTTTTCGATTATTATAGAAGGTGATAGAATTAAAGGAAATTATTTTAAATTTATATCTTAAGAAATGTCTTTCATCTTATGAGAACAGAAGGGAAAATGTAGTAGGAAGGATAAACGTGAGTGATTAGTTCTTAAGAGTGCACAAAGTTTTATGTTCCAAGTTCTTGGAAAGTGAGGAAATAAATATCCATCCCATGGACTGTTTGTATTGCTAATTTTGGTTTTGGAGTGGTGATGGTTCACTATATTTTCCATATTTTTTGTATGAACCACTTTGATTACTTTGATAAGCTAAAATACAAGTTGGGAGTAATGTTCAGTTGTTTTGTCATTTATGGCAGGGGTCCCCAACCATTTTCACCCCACGAACCAGCTGGGGAAGGCAGGGCACCCCCGCGCTCGTGTGCATGCATGAATAAGCGCACACTTCCTCTCTCACGAATGAGAGAGCACTTATGCGCATGTGCAGATGGCAGTGCGGCACTTGTGTGGGGGGCCCACTTATGTACATGTGCAAACGGCAGTGTGCCGCTTGTCTGGGTGCGCTTGAGCTCATGCGCATGCACGGCACTTGCCCCTGGAGCACACATGCAAGTGCGAATCAGCTGTGAGGGGGGTGAGTGCATGCGGGGGGCATGGCAGGAAGTCTGTCTCTGCAGCCGGTCCGGCTCAGGCCACGGACCGACACCTGGCTGTGGACCAGGGGTTGGGGACCTGATTTATGCCACCCTTTGGAGTGTTGTGTGTTTCTGTATGGATTTTGTGTTGCTGTTGGATAACCATGCTGCAGCAGTACTAAGAGTGCGTTTCACGGCTACAATTGGATTGGTATTCTAATAATTGTAACACAGGATCAGCTGAAAGTATCAGTTCTTTGGCATATAAAACAAAGTGCTATCTTACAGGATGTGCTTACTTTGACAAAAATCAAACTTTCATCTTAAAACGTTTTGTGCTATGTTGATTTTTGTAGCTTCCTTACTGTGTCTTATGTTTGCTTGTGGTGATTTTGTGTAAGAATCTGTGATAGGAAGATGTAGTTCAAAATCTAAAATTGTATCTATTTTCAGAGTGGTTGATAAAATACATGGGGATTGGATAGTACTTGCAAGAACAGAATAACACTTTTTTGCTCAGACCAACATTCATCTAGTTCAGGATTTTGTTTCCAGCTATACAGAAAGCAAAAAAATTCACACACAAGACCTAGAGATGGAACCCATTCTCTGCCTTTTATATTGATTCTTCGTCTAGAAGCAGTTTCTGTACATGTAGGTCCTATGAAGCTATTTGATTGTTTTGGTCAGTAGTTACTGATAATGCCAATTTCCTTTTTTTTTTTTTTGGTCACCTAATGGGCAGTTCTAAATAATCAAGATGATTGAGGGCCATCTGAGTTTACATTAGGCTAGCTGAGGCTGTGTTGAATCCAAACTCTTCCCAACCTAGGGATGCTGGAAGTTACTACAGTGATTTAGTTCCTTTATTGCCTTCATTCTTTGCCTGCTATTTGGCTCTTCTGCCATCTGATCTGAGCCAGAATAAAAGTGCCAGCAAATTTAGTTTTACTGGCAGATTTGAGATTAGCTGGAACGAGAGCAGTTGTGCTGCCATAAGAGACTTCTGCATATTCAACCCTTGCTCCAACTGGTGTATCTTTGAATCTGAATTTGACTGTAAGCTAATGTCTGTCAACATATCATTCCTTCCCATTCCCAAATAATATTGAATATTAATATACACTATACTGAATGCTTGTTTTGGGATTGTACCTTGTTTTGTAGTTGGAAAATTTGACATGGAATATAATGAATCAAGAGTCATAAAATTAAAATTCTGGAATACTGTATTCAGACAGATTTGTTAGCCTTGTTGCTGTTAAAACTCATTTTACTTCCTTTTTCAATAATTTTTGCTGCATTGGCTTGTTCTATTGATTTACAGTGCTTATAGGTAGGATGTTTCTAACATCTATTTTCTTGCACCTCCTTAGTGAAAAGAGTATTCAAGTTTTCTCCGATCTCTTTTGTCTGTAGATAGCTCCATGTTCAGAAATTAAAAATTTCTTGAGACAGTCTTTAGAATGAGGATTCCTAGATAAAATTATATTAAAAATTATATAAATAACAGTTGTTTATATCTTTCTGCAATTTATGTCAGTTTGTACAGTGGTATGTACAATCACGTATGATAATTTTACAGTTTTCTTTTGTGACCAGTCATACAGCATTTACTCAGATATTCTCTGTGAATTTTGTGATTTTTTTCTCAGCTCATACAATTATGTCATTCACTTTAAAGAGTTACTTGTTATCTTTTTGTTGTTTTATAAAAAAATGTACACACACACACACACACACACACACACACACACACACGCGCGAAAGAAAAATCTTCAGGTAGCCATCTCTTTGCTAAACGCTAAGCATATCAACTTTTTTTTTTAAAGTCCCTCCTTGCTTTCTAGGCTACTTGCCAATATTGCAGAATCTAGTCTTAGAACTTCTATTTTAAATGATTTGAATTTCAGTGATAATTTTGAAAGTAGCACCAGAAAGTTGTTATTTCCAAGGAGTAAAAGTTAAATTTTCACATTTTCTATCTGTGTGTCTTTTAAATCTTGTTTACATTTTATGTGCTTGTTCCTTAAATTAGCTAGGCACAGAAGTTCAGTCTTTGTTTTTATTTCAAAACTACTTATATATGATTTGTTTACTTTGGGATGGATGGAGTGTTTATAATCTCCTCTTTTGAGAAAGATATGCTTAGGGTAAAAAGGAGAATGTATGACTAAAGTCTTGTAATTTCAAAACATATACTGGCAAGCTCATTAGATGCGTTTCAAAAAGTATTGTGAAGAAAACTTTGTCTTAGAGATTACAAGTGTCATTATAACCTTGTTTCCAGATTATTCATATTGTGCTAGGTGATGGAGCATAGTTCAATTTATATTATTCATTGATTCATTCATTTCGTTTTGATTCATTTCTATACCGCCCCATTAGTGCATATGGAATATTCTGAGTGGTAAACAAGCTAAAATATAAAACACGCAAACAAATGATAAACCAAACACTAGTATAAAACAAAATAGGAATGACCTTTCAAATAGAGAAACAGATATTTGTTCTCTGTCGTCAGAATTAGTATAGCTTATTTTGCTTGTTTTGATCTGTATTGACAACTTCAAAATTCTGGTTCTCTTCTTTTTTTTCCTTTCCTTTTCTTTTTTCTCTTGGTGGTGGGGGAGGAGTTGATAAAATTTGGGATTTTATTTTGTTTTGTTTTGATTTATTTTATGGTGCCCAGAATTGGAAGCTTATCTATCATACAGTGTAGTATATACATAATTGATTTAGTCCACTGTACACAAGTCTGAAATCTTTTATCTGGAGCAGTTTTTAGTTAAACAAATAAAGCATTTGATCTTCCAGCTATACCCAGTGCTTGTGATTTTAAGACATTGATTAATCGGGTACCTTCTGATGAATGCCTGCCACAGAATGTTCCATGTTAACAGGATCATAAGCTCAGTTCCAACTACAGACTTTTGGATGCCTGCCTAGATGTTTTGAGCTTGATTTTACAAGGTTTCATGAGTAATAAGAGGAAATAGACTGTTAGTTGCTGGTCCCATAACTTCCAGAGGTGGCTGGTATTTGTGTGGTTGGGGGAAAGGCACCTCTTACAAAATAACTGTTGAATTAGTGAGGAGACTCCTCTTGTTTCAACCATTGGTTTCTACAGTTGAGGAAACCCTCCATGGGGATCATGGGAATTCCAAGGGAATCACAAGTCAGAGATTTTTAGAATTACTTTTTATTCATAGGTTTAAACATTTATTGTTTCCCAACTTGGTACCACAAAGTGTAATTTAAGCTATATTATTAGGTTTTTAAGTTTATTTACAAGTTTAAATTACTAATTGAGTTTCTTCAGCGTGGTCTCTGTGAATCACACATTTGGGTTAAATCAGTGCCTGCGCTGGAACTTTGGAACCTTCTAGAGCTTTTCTGAAAAAGATACAAAATTCAGGTTGCCCCTAGCACGCATGCTCCATTCCCTCCCTGCCTCCAGTACCTTTTTTTCCGCCATTATGCTCGGAACGTTTCGGACAGAGCTCTCTATTTCAATCGTTTTTGGCTTGATTTTGGACTGTATCTTCGACTATTTTTGCTTCTATTGCCCCTTAAACTTGGACTGCTTTGACTACTCTCTTGCCTG